GTTCGCCATACTCCTACCTCCGACCGCTTCTCTCTCTCTCTCTCTCTCTCTCTCTTCTCTCTCTCTCTCTCTCTCTCTCTCTCTTCTATATATATATATATATATATATATATATATATATATATATATTCCTTCCTCTCCCTGCATCTCCCTCGCCTACTATTATTATAACGTCACCCAACCACATCACAGGTGAGTACGTGCTACATGGCATACACTAATTATTAGAGCTATTGCAATAATTTTTAACGATATCCGCAGGGAGCAATTATATCACATTCCGTTAGACGCCCTCCCCCCATCCAAGCATAGGAGGAGTGAACGCATTCACTTTCACACGACTATAGTGAACTCTCTTCACATGCAAACAGCAACGGTCACTTCCAACGGCAGAGCGATAAATTATAGGTGAAAGGGCGTATGGTCACACAGGCGTGATGTCACAGGGATATATTAACTTTGAAATCCATTATTATATGTAGGCAGCGAGAGTTTTGCGAGGTGTGCGTCACTAGCTGGTGTGGATGTCCAGGAAGGTGACGACACCCGGCATTGTACGAATGTGTGTGGTTCGTTGTATGAGAGAGAGTGAGAGTGAGAGAGAGAGAGAGAGAGAGAAAGTGAGAGATTGTGTAGGTGTTAGATGGAGGCGCGTAACTGTAGTTTATTCCTCTTTGTTTGGCACGATATGATAGGCGCATATTATATATACGTACTTGTGTTCCGCAGGGGAGCGCAGTAGATCAGCAGTGTGAGATGAGTATGGTCACACAACAGCGCCAGACATCGGCTACATCGGACCTAGTGGATTAATCGAATTGCATGGCTATGACAAACGGTACGTGCGCGCGCGTGTGTGCGTGAGTGCATACCTGCGCGTGTGCGTGCGTGCATACCTGCCTGTGTGTGCGCGCGCGTGCATACATGCATGTGTGTGAGTGCATATCTGCGTGTGTGCGTGCGTGCATACATGCATGTGTGTGCGTGCATGCATACCTGCCTGTGTGTGCGTGCATACCTGCGTGTGTGTGCGCGCGTTTGTTTGTATGGTGTAGTGATCGAGCGTGCGTTTGTGCATTGGTGCGCGTGGGTTTGTATGGTATAGTCGTCGAGCGTGCGTGCGTGTGTGCGTGTGCGTGTGTACGTGTATGTGCGTGCGTGTGTGTGAGCGTGCATGCGTGCCTGTGTGATTGAGTATGTGTGCGCTTACATATTATAGACAACTTAATATAACGGGACGTTTACCTGCTGCTATCTGATAACGGATAACGACATCCCGTCTGTCCTTTCATCCAGCTAGATCGATGTTGCACATACTATCAAGAGCTAATAATACCTGCTTAATGCAATACCATGAAATTATTATAGACTCGCAGGCAAAGTAGAATAATGTTGTCGTGAAATAGCACTATTTCCCCGTTTTTCCGTTGTACACTCTAGGTATTATTAGCTCTTGATACTATGCAAATAACCTGGTCATGCAGAGTCATTAAACCTCAGTTTCAGCTACTGATTAGCTCTCAGTGCGCTAGTACTGCTGACACGGCTACTGAGGCGTCATTCCTCTGACATCTATAGACAGCATACCAAAGCTCTGTAATGCGAAGGTGTTATGGAGCGAAAAAATTATTGATTTCATCATAATAAATAATTTGATAATGAGTTATCGCGCGCACATCTCACAGCGCGGTGCGTGCGTGTGTGCGTGCGTACGTGCGTGCGTGCGTGCGTGCGTGTGTGTGTGCGTGTGGGTGCGCATGTCATCGGTGGTACGGGATCTAACGTACTCAGACTTTCGTTTTGATGTCACTCCGTTTCTCGACTATCGTTCTCTTATCACAGGTTACCACCAGGTGGCGCCACTGTTTGTGATGGGCTTCATCCTACTGGTAAGCAGTTGATGTTGGTTTATAACGACTACCCCACCTGCGGTGTCAGTGTGCTGCGGTATAGCAAGGATTATTGTATCCTATCCGATTGCCTGTTGAGAATAATTGATGCGTACCTGCCTGACTGGCTTCTGGGAAGTGCTTAACGCGCATGCTCGTAAGCCACTCGCTACGCGTCTTTCAACAAACTACACTGTTTAGTGGCAGCACCATACAGTCACAATAAATTTATAATAAACTAAATTTGGCCGTAACACTTATTATCTAATGCCTGATTGACATTATTATAGAACGGTTATTCTCGGTTATGGTGTTAATGTAGGGAACAATTAATTTGTACCATGCCCTCATATATACTCATATATATTACTTTGACACATGCAGCATAAAACAAGATGGATATTATTGTATCGTGTTTAGTTAGTTAATGCAATATAATTACATTGTATATTACTGCATCGTGTTTTGTTAGGTATTATTGTATGTTGTTGCATCATGTGTTGCGAGCTATTGCAGCATAAATTACGATGTATATTATAGCACTGCGACATGGTATGTATGCATCGTGTATTGTCTATATATTGTCAGTGGTTTAAACGCAGGCGTCGGCTACGGCTGCGGAAGATGTCGGCTTACTGGTCGACCTGGAGCTGGGAGTCTTTGTCTGTCCCACGCGAGCGTCGCGCCCTCTACTGGATCTCTTCCCGATCTCGTTGCTCTGCGACGGAATCAAGGATTGCGTGTCGGGCGTTGATGAAAACAACGACTTCTGCACCGGTACGCATGCGACCCTCCTGTGTCGTGTCTCGTAAAGCGCCATGTTCATTGTGATAAAAAAGATGAAAACGTGGAAGAAGTCGGGAGAAAGAGAATCACTATATATCAGAAATCCGCGAAAAGCCTTGTGATTAGTGATTACAATTAGTGAGTGATTATTATTATTAACTATTATATTATTATTAACTAGCTTAGTGATTACAATTTCATGCAGGATTTTGGTTAGGGTTAGGCACTGTATGGGAATCATTAAGAGTTCATTATATCGATATATAGTAGAGTTATAAACGAGTATAATAAGTAGTTTATCGATAACTACTTACCGTTCCCGGCATCGAAGTCCGATTATACGATTTAACTTACAACCTTACCTACCTTACCTTACCTTACCTTAACAACCTTACCTACCTTACCTTACCTTACCTATCTCTCTCTCTCTTTCTCTCTCTCTCTCTCGCTCGCTCTCTCTCTCCCTTTTTCTTTCGCTTTATCTTTCTCTCTACCTCTCTCTCTTTCTCTCTCTTTCTCTCGTTCTCTCACACGCTCTCCATCCATATATCTATCCATCCATCCAGCAATTCATCTATCCACCCATCCATCCATCTATTAATCTGTGGTTCTTTCCATCTATCTATCGGTCTCACCGCCCTCGCGCGCTCTCTCTCTCTCATCTCCTTCTTTTTTTCTCTCTCTCTCTCTCTCTCTCTCGCTGTCTCTCTCTCTCTCTGTGTCTCTGTCTCTCTCGCTCTGTATTAAAATATAAAATAGCATTACCGCTATACACCTACTATTACACTGACCTAATAATACTTATTAATCCTTTATGCATGCATTGCCCGAATCACAGAAATTGCATCAATATAAATGTTATCACGTAAAAGGTAACAATCGTTAAACTCGTGGTGCTGTGGCGGAGTGTGGTTAGTGTTTCAAATTCTTCTTTTACTCATTTCCAGCCGTTCGCGTGCGACGTAAGTTGCCGCACACATTCGCTAAACAATCGTAACAGTGTCGCTTCAGCAACAGTGTCGGCTCAGCAATAGTGTCGCTGCTGCAATAGTGTCGCTTTAGCAATAGTGTCGCTTCAATCGCTCATGCATCCGGCGCGACGTACGCGCTTTCCCCGTGATAGGTCTTGCGTTGTATTGCCCCAAATTCCATTTCGTCATAGCCTCCCTGCGCACTGCATGTGTCGTAAACTTTCTCATTGTTTGATCGCCATGTTCGATATGCGTGCGTGCTGCTGTATCATCATTGTGCACCGCTGGCACAGTCACACAGATATTCCGCGATTCAGCAAAGGTGATCATAGCGCTCGCTCTACTGGCGCCGAATTTCTATCGTTCTCTGATTGTCTGATGCTTTTGCGGTAATCAGAGCATGCGGTCTATAATGGGGACTCAATTCGATTTCGGACATATGAACTAATTTCATTTCCCCTCTCCCTCTCCCTCTCCCTCTCCCCTCCTCGTCGGCGTCCTTTTATGCACGCATGACATTGCCCTGAACGCTGTACACAGTAGTGGTATGAGCTAGATAGGCTGTATACGGCAGCGGGCGAGTTTCAGATCGAAGAGCAAATAGTGTAGCGTAAACTTATTATGTTAATGACGGCTCGTTATTCCTCTGTTAGAAGTTGCCACGGTAACCGTACATGATCACTTTTCTCCTTCATGTGACCTTTCAAATTTTGGCGTGGGAGAAGCGTGGGTGTGTAAGTGCGTGAGGAGGCGTGCGTACGTGTGCGTGCTTTGCGGCTTGTCCTGTGCTAACAGTTGCTAAGTTGTCCTTTTGCTACAATCTATGTAAGCACACAATTATGTAAGGTATCTAATAACTAATAACTAATTGATACTAACTAACAATACTTTCCTTTCTCTTTCCACCATACTCACACGTTCCTGCCTCTCTCGCGCGCGACAGACCTTGAGCGTTAACGACAGAGCAGGCGTGCGCGGCGTTACCATGGCAATTAACGCGGGCAGCGAGAGATCACTGGCCTCGCTCGACGGACGTCTGCCGTGATAATCATCATCATCGTCGTCGCTGTCACTCTGCCTCTGCGGCGCATAGCGGATATGATTATGTATGCGTATAATATATGCATGTATATCTCATGTCGCGCTTGCTCTCTCTCTCTCTCTCTCTCTCTCTCTCTCTCTCTCTCTCTCTCTTCTCTCTTCTTTCTCACACACGCTTTCTCTCACTCTCTCTCTCTCTCTTTCTCACCACACGCTTTCTCTCACTCTCTCTCTCTCTCTCTCTCTCTCTCTCTTCTCTTTCTCTTCTCTCTCTGTCTGTCTCTCTCTCTCTCTCTCTCTCTCTCTCCTCTCT